ATATTTTATTTAAGAAATATATTTCAAATAAATTTAGGTACTATCTATTTTTACTATAAATATATTCGCCAAATATATTTAAAAATAAAAAAGTGTAAATATACGTTATAAATCTACCATATTATATGTATATAAATAATATACGGATCGGATCGGAGCATTAGATTCTTTCGATAACCTGTTCTGCCGTAGATGCCTTGTTAGTCCATTTGATTTCTCAGGCTAAATTCTCGAAGGGTCATTACTTGATGTTCTAGCAACAATTGACACATTTTTACTTTGTTATGCGTCTATGCAGGTATTTGATTGCCGGCTGCACGTTGTGATTTGATTCGGTTACTAAATTTTACTATTTGCTTCGCTTTGATTCAAAATGGATATCCGGATTTTTGAATCATATCGAAACGAATACCGAATCAGATCGAATTTAACGGATAATTTTTTCAGCCTTACAGTCTATAGCATCATATATATGATTAAGTCACGAAAAAAATACAAGAGTGAAAACGTAATGTTCGTTTGCAAGAAAATGTTGCAACAAAGATAAAATTATGGTTTCGGTAGTTCAATGGTGTAACGTTTTGCAACTCTGCTCTCTCTTTTTGACAACATGTAATATTTTGCTATTTAAACCTTAACAATATTAAAGCTCATAAATTTGTATGTCGGCAATCTAAATTGTTCTAGTTTCCAACTGAGAAGATGTAAGGCTGATTTGCAACATTAACAAAAAAAAAAGTAATCTAACCAAATAACATGAAGTGGAGATTAGAAATTTTAGAGTCATTAGATTAGAGCCATTTTGTTAGTTAGTGAATTATATTATTTTTTTTGTTATCTTAACCAATTTCCCTAAATCTAAATTAACAAAAAAAAGATTAGATATCTGTTGTAAATCAAAAATAAGATAGATATTTTATACTTTTGTATTAAATGTGATAATACACAAGTACAAGAACAAATCATTGTCACTATGATCATCCTTGGAGGCCTTGGCCCTTTTTGACTAGTCAAAAGTATATATATAATTAGATCTATTTTTCAGCATTACATGTCGTCTAGTTCACGTGCGAAATAGTTTTATTTGCCCATCAAGCTCCACTCAATTTTCCTCAATTTACGATTTTTCTCTTAGTTATTTGAGTTGGGCCATAGCATATGAATTATGATAGATGATATAAAATTTTATTAAGATGAAGTACCTTTTGTGGTAATGTTTTGAATCGATTTTTTTTTTCCCTATCGATTGTTAGGAAGCAACCTCATTTGTTGTTAAGCGAGTGTTGTTCACTTGTTGTTTGAGGTATTTAAAAGTTTTTAAAAATAAAATTAAACGATTTATCGATTTTAAGTCCATACTTTATCCGTTTATCTGTTAATTAGGTTTCTTAGTGAGACAGTTGTATACTCTTCAACAGATTAGTGAAACTAGTGGCCGGGGAAAAAAAAAAGGGAACTAATTTGGCCGTATGTATAACTTTTATGGAATCTTAAGAAGAATTATGCTAACACAAAAGTTAAATAAAATAAATTAGACATTTAACTCACCGTCCAAAAAAATACTAATACAAATTAGGCTTTACCTATGAGACTATGACCAACCAAAAGCTGCCATTTGTCAACCAAA